TCATCAACACAATTCCAAGTAATACATATTCTCTTACCAGGCTGTTGCCAATGACACTGGTTGTACATATGGTCATCAGCACCATTAATTCCAAGTAATACACATAATCTCTGACCAGGCTGTTGCCAATGACACTGGTTGTACATATGGCCGTCAACCCCATTAATTCCAAGTAATACATATTCTCTTACCAGGCTGTTGCCAATGACACTGGTTGTACATATGGTCATCAGCACCATTAATTCCAAGTAATACATATAATCTCTTACCAGGCTGTTGCCAATGACACTGGTTGTACATATGGTCATCAACACCATTAATTCCAAGTTATACATATAATCTCTTACCAGGCTGTTGCCAATGACACTGGTTGTACATATGGTCATCAACACCATTAATTCCAAGTAATACATATAATCTCTTACCAGGCTGTTGCCAATGACACTGGTTGTACATATGGTCATCAACACCATTAATTCCAAGTAATACATATTCTCTTACCAGGCTGTTGCCAATGACACTGGTTGTACATATGGTCATCGACACCATTAATTCCAAGTAATACATATAATCTCTTACCAGGCTGTTGCCAATGACACTGGTTGTACATATGGCCATCAACACCATTAATTCCAAGTAATACATATAATCTCTTACCAGGCTGTTGCCAATGACACTGGTTGTACATATGATCATCAACACCATTAATTCCAAGTAATACATATTCTCTTACCAGGCTGTTGCCAATGACATTGGTTGTACATATGGTCGTCAACACCATTAATTCCAAGTAATACATATTCTCTTACCAGGCTGTTGCCAATGACACTGGTTGTACATATGGTCATCAACCCCATTAATTCCAAGTAATACATATTCTCTTACCAGGCTGTTGCCAATGACACTGGTTGTACATATAGTCATCAACACCATTAATTCCAAGTAATACATATTCTCTTACCAGGCTGTTGCCAATGACACTGGTTGTACATATGGTCGTCGACACCATTAATTCCAAGTAATACATATTCTCTTACCAGGCTGTTGCCAATGACACTGGTTGTACATATAGTCATCAACCCCATTAATTCCAAGTAATACATATTCTCTTACCAGGCTGTTGCCAATGACACTGGTTGTACATATTGTCGTCGACACCATTAATTCCAAGTAATACATATTCTCTTACCAGGCTGTTGCCAATGACACTGGTTGTACATATAGTCATCAACACCTTTAATTCCAAGTAATACATATTCTCTTACCAGGCTGTTGCCAATGACACTGGTTGTACATATGGTCGTCAACACCATTAATTCCAAGTAATACATAATCTCTTACCAGGCTGTTGCCAATGACACTGGTTGTACATATGGTCATCAACACCATTAATTCCAAGTAATACATATAATCTCTTACCAGGCTGTTGCCAATGACACTGGTTGTACATATAGTCATCAACACCATTAATTCCAAGTAATACATATAATCTCTTACCAGACTGTTGCCAATGACACTGGTTGTACATATGGTCATCGACACCATTAATTCCAAGTAATACATATAATCTCTTACCAGGCTATTGCCAATGACACTGGTTGTACATGTAGTCACCGACACCATTAATTCCAAGTAATACATATAATCTCTTACCAGGCTGTTGCCAATGACACTGGTTGTACATGTAGTCATCGACACCATTAATTCCAAGTAATACATATAATCTCTTACCAGGCTGTTGCCAATGACACTGGTTGTACATATAGTCATCAACCCCATTAATTCCAAGTAATACATATTCTCTTACCAGGCTGTTGCCAATGACACTGGTTGTACATATGGTCGTCAACACAATTAATTCCATGTAATACACATAATCTCTTACCAGGCTGTTGCCAATGACACTGGTTGTACATATGGTCATCCACACCATTAATTCCAAGTAATACATATAATCTCTTACCAGACTGTTGCCAATGACACTGGTTGTACATATGGTCATCAACACCATTAATTCCAAGTAATACATGTAATCTCTTACCAGGCTGTTGCCAATGACACTGGTTGTACATATGGTCATCAACACCATTAATTCCAAGTAATACATATAATCTCTTACCAGGCTGTTGCCAATGACACTGGTTGTACATATGGTCATCAACCCCATTAATTCCAAGTAATACATATAATCTCTTACCAGACTGTTGCCAATGACACTGGTTGTACATATGGTCATCGACACCATTAATTCCAAGTAATACATATAATCTCTTACCAGGCTGTTGCCAATGACACTGGTTGTACATGTAGTCATCGACACCATTAATTCCAAGTAATACATATAATCTCTTACCAGGCTATTGCCAATGACACTGGTTGTACATGTAGTCATCGACACCATTAATTCCAAGTAATACATATAATCTCTTACCAGGCTATTGCCAATGACACTGGTTGTACATATGGTCATCGACACCATTAATTCCAAGTAATACATGTAATCTCTTACCAGGCTATTGCCAATGACACTGCTTGTACATATGGTCATCGACACCATTAATTCCAAGTAATACATATTCTCTTACCAGGCTGTTGCCAATGACACTGGTTGTACATATGGTCGTCAACACCATTAATTCCAAGTAATACACATAATCTCTTACCAGGCTGTTGCCAATGACACTGGTTGTACATATGGTCATCCACACCATTAATTCCAAGTAATACATATAATCTCTTACCAGGCTATTGCCAATGACACTGGTTGTACATGTAGTCATCGACACCATTAATTCCAAGTAATACATATAATCTCTTACCAGGCTGTTGCCAATGACACTGGTTGTACATGTAGTCATCGACACCGTAATTCCAAGTAATACATATAATCTCTTACCAGGCTGTTGCCAATGACACTGGTTGTACATATAGTCATCAACCCCATTAATTCCAAGTAATACATATTCTCTTACCAGGCTGTTGCCAATGACACTGGTTGTACATATGGTCGTCAACACCATTAATTCCAAGTAATACACATAATCTCTTACCAGGCTGTTGCCAATGACACTGGTTGTACATATGGTCATCCACACCATTAATTCCAAGTAATACATATAATCTCTTACCAGACTGTTGCCAATGACACTGGTTGTACATATGGTCATCAACACCATTAATTCCAAGTAATACATATAATCTCTTACCAGGCTGTTGCCAATGACACTGGTTGTACATATGGTCATCAACACCATTAATTCCAAGTAATACATATAATCTCTTACCAGGCTGTTGCCAATGACACTGGTTGTACATATGGTCATCAACCCCATTAATTCCAAGTAATACATATAATCTCTTACCAGACTGTTGCCAATGACACTGGTTGTACATATGGTCATCGACACCATTAATTCCAAGTAATACATATAATCTCTTACCAGGCTGTTGCCAATGACACTGGTTGTACATGTAGTCATCGACACCATTAATTCCAAGTAATACATATAATCTCTTACCAGGCTATTGCCAATGACACTGGTTGTACATGTAGTCATCGACACCATTAATTCCAAGTAATACATATAATCTCTTACCAGGCTATTGCCAATGACACTGGTTGTACATATGGTCATCGACACCATTAATTCCAAGTAATACATGTAATCTCTTACCAGGCTATTGCCAATGACACTGCTTGTACATATGGTCATCGACACCATTAATTCCAAGTAATACATATAATCTCTTACCAGGCTATTGCCAATGACACTGGTTGTACATATGGTCATCGACACCATTAATTCCAAGTAATACATATAATCTCTTACCAGGCTGTTGCCAATAACACTGGTTGTACATATAGTCATCAACACCATTAATTCCAAGTAATACATACAATCTCTTACCAGGCTATTGCCAATGACACTGGTTGTACATATGGTCATCGACACCATTAATTCCAAGTAATACATATAATCTCTTACCAGGCTATTGCCAATGACACTGGTTGTACATATGGTCATCGACACCATTAATTCCAAGTAATACATATAATCTCTTACCAGGCTATTGCCAATGACACTGGTTGTACATATGGTCATCGACACCATTAATTCCAAGTAATACATATAATCTCTTACCAGGCTATTGCCAATGACACTGGTTGTACATATGGTCATCGACACCATTAATTCCAAGTAATACATGTAATCTCTTACCAGGCTGTTGCCAATGACACTGGTTGTACATATGGTCATCAACACCATTAATTCCAAGTAATACATATAATCTCTTACCAGGCTGTTGCCAATGACACTGGTTGTACATATGGTCATCAACACCATTAATTCCAAGTAATACATATAATCTCTTACCAGGCTGTTGCCAATGACACTGGTTGTACATATGGTCATCAACCCCATTAATTCCAAGTAATACATATAATCTCTTACCAGACTGTTGCCAATGACACTGGTTGTACATATGGTCATCGACACCATTAATTCCAAGTAATACATATAATCTCTTACCAGGCTGTTGCCAATGACACTGGTTGTACATGTAGTCATCGACACCATTAATTCCAAGTAATACATATAATCTCTTACCAGGCTATTGCCAATGACACTGGTTGTACATGTAGTCATCGACACCATTAATTCCAAGTAATACATATAATCTCTTACCAGGCTATTGCCAATGACACTGGTTGTACATATGGTCATCGACACCATTAATTCCAAGTAATACATGTAATCTCTTACCAGGCTATTGCCAATGACACTGCTTGTACATATGGTCATCGACACCATTAATTCCAAGTAATACATATAATCTCTTACCAGGCTATTGCCAATGACACTGGTTGTACATATGGTCATCGACACCATTAATTCCAAGTAATACATATAATCTCTTACCAGGCTGTTGCCAATAACACTGGTTGTACATATAGTCATCAACACCATTAATTCCAAGTAATACATACAATCTCTTACCAGGCTATTGCCAATGACACTGGTTGTACATATGGTCATCAACACCATTAATTCCAAGTACTCCTGATCTGCAAGAATAACATCATTTATGAACTACTGCAGTCCTTTTCAATAAGGTTGTGTGGCAATAAAACCTTAAAAATAAACAATCAAAAGACCTCAGTGTAGTATCATATATATGGAAAAACACATTCATATTTTAGTATTTCTTCTTATTTGGGTATCTATTTGGCCCATTTCCCAGTGGATGGGTTCACATTTGTAGCTTGTCCTTCTGAAGCAAAATTAAATAAGTGGATGCTATAGGCCTAAGGATAGAATTATCTTTGAATTTTTCAATATTTATGTCAAATCAATTTGCTCAGGAGAAACAAAATGTAATTAATCTGCAGTTCGCTCTGTGAAATCATATGCCTCTTGACTTGACCTTAATCAATTTTATTTGTTGTTTTACATTTGATTTTTTTTCTGTTTACGGGAAAGGATCATATTCCTGAATCTTATCATTTGTGTTTGTCATTTTCTGTTTATTATTTGCAACATCATGCTGAATCTGAGATAAAATAAATTCCTGATTAATTAATCATTATCTTTTACCTGTTTACAAAGCTCTACAAGTAACTTCCCACATCTCAAAACAGATAAAATATCAATGTAAAAGTAACCTGATTTTCCAGAAAATAAAATAAATATTGTCATGGAAACATTATGTAAGTACGGTCAGTACGTAATTATATTTAATTATATATAATTCTCATTATTTATTAATTATTTATATCCAATATAAATATTATTTATATTAAGCTGATATTCAAACATTGTAAAGATCTTGCTGCACTCTTATGATTAATGACGACTATTTTAATTTTAGACCTCAGTTTGTTCTAGTACAGGGGAATCCCTACGCTACTATAAATTCAGCCAAAACAAAGATATATCAATATAATTCTGACAAGTTATTACTTTCAACAACCAATCATGATTTAGAATTACAATTTGAATCTTGCTTACATAAGCATGATATCAGCAATATTCTTACTTATATTTGCACGATTTTGTCATTGAATTTGAAAAAATTAAAATTGTGTTAAAATGCATCAATTTATTTGCGAATTTATTGATGCTTCCTAACGTATCTGTATGTTTACCATTGTCAACATTTAAAGTTGATAAAAACGCTTGGATTCCATCAAATAAAATCCTTGAAAAAAAATTTCCCGGGGGAGAATATCCCCGGACCCCCCGCGATGCAGGCATCACCAAGTGTGCGTACCAACTCAAAATATAGCCCTATGCCTATGAATACCTGTGAAATGTTGAGATGTATTGATTCCAAATATATTTTATTCATCTATTAATTAATTTAAGAATTAAATAAATGTTTCAAAAATGGTAGATGCAATAAACAATTTTGAATGATAAACTTTGTTCTACAGTGTGCCTTAATTGTAGAAAGAATCTGGAATTGAACCAATAAATGGTAAACCATTTGACGAGAACTACAGGAAATCTATTTTATCGAAGTGACATTGATGGCATCCTTTATCTCTGTTTGTTCATATTGACTAGAAGTAGTGATAAAGCGCATTTAGATAATGGTAGGATATTAGGAATGTCCTAAAACAAGATATTAGCAGATTAATCTATAGCAATAAGTGTTTGAACATACTTCTACTACTTATCTTTGTTCATCAGTATTTTCAACAATTGTTTTACTAGTTCAAATTAATGTCATATTGATCTAAAATATAGTTTCTCTGTGAATACAAGTTTTCAATGCTATGCTAATGACCTCTATGGGTGAGTGAGTGGGTGAATGAACGAGTGAATGAATGAGTAATTGGGTTAGTGAGTGATTGGGTGAGTGAGTGTGGAGTGAGTGAGTGAGTTTTCAAGGTCACAAAGGCGAAATAAACATTTATCAAAGTTGTATATTGTAATTTTTGCAATACTGTATTTGTATATTTGTTTCAATTAAAACTTAGTGAAAATATCAAAACTATTAAACCTAACTAGTACTATGCAAAACACTAATTTTGATAATATAAATGAAATTTAATTTAAAAAACTGCAGTCTTTAAATGTATGTTTGTTTATTCATGAATTTCTATCATGTTTTTTTACATTCTAAACAATACGAAATATGTAATGTTTCACCTACTTTTCATCCTTTCTCCATATTCTGAAAAATATGTAAAGGCGGGTGTCCCTTTATTTGGGTCAATAAGTACAGTCATGTTGTCATATTCCCTGCTTAAAGACATATTTTATATAAAAGCTCAATGCAGAGAATGTTGTCTTTGTTTATCCATTGCATCCATCTTAATTCATTGCATCCGTTTTGATTAGATGCTTGATCCTATTTCTGTAATAAGCCAAATGGGTTTATATTATTATTATATGGCTGGCAGTGATGTTGCACGCAGTGTGTGGCACACCCCTTTACAAAACTTTGGTAATTTGCAATTTCCATTGGAAATCATTTAAAGTCTATATCTTAACCCTAATTTAGTTCTTTGATCAATTGAAATAGGTTGGGTAAATATGATTTTGATTAATGCTCTGAAATTGCCCATCATAACAGGCTTTATCCTGGCACTGGATCACCTAATTAACATATGGTCCAAAAGGGAACTCAAAGTTACCAAACTTTTGAAGGGGAGTGTAGTAGCATGTCTACCTAATCAATGTAATAGATATTTGATTTGTTAAAGGAGTTGTAATTCACAGAATCTGTTTTCTTCAGTGTTTATTCATTTTCATTGAATAATATTGTTTTTCTATACCTAATTACATAATACAGTAGAAAATGATTAATCAGTTTTTCTACATCGTTTTTCAATTAACCTTTACACTAGCTAGAAAATAGTGTAACCCCTGATTAGAAAGTGAGAAAACACATTTATTAACATTCTTACAGTGAAATTACTGTTTAGTTAACCCCTTTGTTGTATCAGGGATGTTTACAGGGTGGTGTTCTCTTAAAGGGACAACAAAGAATAGGGTGTGTAAATTGTTGGAAGCAATCTACAAAAAGCATGATATAAGATATATCTGATATAAAAAATGGGGACGTCTAGTTTTCAAAATGATTGCCAAAAAAACATTAAATATTGAAACACTGTCATGATGTTAGTCAACATTGTGAGAACTGACTTTTTAGAAAATATCCATGATATGGAATTTATGAGCTAAAAATGTAAAAAATGGTGACAATTCTTTGAGAAAGTTACTCTCAACACATCAGTAATATTTGTTGCCCCTTTAAAGCAATATTTTAGTTTGCTCCACAGAGTGAACAAATACCATGCACATAAAAACATTTACTGTACAATTACTAACCAGTATATATATAAAAGAATATTATTTCATTAATTATAAATGATTGCACGATGGAGAGTAGAAGCAAAACATATATAAAACAGAATTATTTTTGTTGCTATGGTTACTATATCTATAGAATGACATGAATTAAATCCTGGGTATGAAATGGGGCTATGCTGGTTATTTGAATTATAGTCCTCCAGATGATTTGTGCGTAATAAGTGTTATAATATGTTTTATATCAATGGCAGGTGCGTTGAAAATACCACTAAGTGATTTAATAGTATTATCATTGTAATATTGGCAGCATCAATCATTGCATATAGGATCAAACTGTATTTGCACTTATTCAGAACAAAATAGTTTCTTATCTGTTCGGGGTCAACCCAGTTGTCCGAAACCCAGTTGTCCGAAACCCAGTTGTCCGAAACCCAGTTGTCCGAAACCCAGTTGTCCGAAACCCAGTTCTCCGAAACCCAGTTGTCCGAAACCCAGTTGTCCGAAACCCAGTTCTCCGAAACCCAGTTGTCCGAAACCCAGTTCTCCGAAACCCAGTTCTCCGAAACCCAGTTCTCCGAAACCCAGTTCTCCGAAAATTAAAAAATTAAATGTCTTAGTAACTAATCTTGTCGCAACTTCGCGAATCAGGACAGCATAACATTGGTATCACGTTGACATCGGTTAGCCCGGTCAATAATGGGTCCGAAAGTTCACGATCATATATATATTCTTACTAAATTCTCGGCACATACACTTATATGGACATTCTACAAATTTTGAACCGCATTGTCCAGCACGAATCGCACTCCTTCTTGGTGAAAATTCAAGACTGCCGCCAACATTTTAGACAACTATCACAGTCGATGAGAATATTCTGGCGAAAGGAATATCTATCTCATTAGAATAACGTATGGACGTCCGTGACAATTATATATATTCATTTGATAATTTTTTTCATTCCCTTTTCTCAATAAAATATGGTTAATTATGTTTTCCAATATCAATTGATAATATTTCTACCCTGAAAAATATCTAAAAAGAAGATTTTGATTGTTCAGTACCACCAATTGTTAAGATTTCGTCCAAATTTTCGATAAATCAATAAAATATGCTAATTTCGTATAACTTATATATGTGGCATATATATATAAGATGTCTATCCTTTTTTCATCATAATATAAGAGGTTTGTATGTTTTAGTAGAAACGTATTCCTTTCCAAACATTTAGATTTAAGAATTTCTCCCATTGGTGATATTGTTCAAAATCAAAACTGTGTTTTTGCGATATATTGAACTGTTGAAGTAAGCGTGTAATCGTTTGTAGTAGAGCCAAGATTTGATCTGTATCATGTACGTACCCTGCATAAAAAAAATTCGTTTTTAGTGTGCCATAGATGTCAACCATTAACTATTGCAGAATCAAAAAAAGTTTTGTGAAAAATTAGGATAATGTTTCAAAATTATACACCGGACAATAAATAACTATATGCAGACAGGGAGTTTTAATTGCCCAAAAACTGAGTATCAAAATGCATTTGTATCTCTTTAGTATCTTGCATGACTCGTTCATATGAATTCTTTATTTCTACCTCGTTCCCAATACATTCTGAGACAGTTCAACCTTTGCCCCACGTCCTGTTCGTCGTTAGTACGTTGTCACTCGATATAATAGTATAGTTTCCATATAGCTTTTGAAATCTCGCTGAATCTCGTTTTTCGTGAGATTTTAAGAGACTTGCATATTAGACCTCTAATGACTTACATTACCTTCTTTTAAATGGCATATTTGAATTCAGTGAAATGTTTTCTCCTTTAATAGCTTTGATTTACACAGTTATGTAATTTGAATAATTTTCTATGACAATTTAAAAAACTTGGGCCAAATGTCCATAGATGCAATGCTAAAATTCTTTAAATCTGTGGATTATTTGTATGTCAATCAACATTTGCATGTTTAATCACATCATGTACATAAACAGGGTCATCATGTGGTATATCATTTTCATCAAGTTTTATACAGATTCAACAAACAAACTTTGATAAATCATGAAATTAAGCCACTTTTCCAAGATTTTAACATGTAAATGAATGGAGCTCTAGCCCAAGTTAAAAGCTGAATAAAAGATGGCAGCACGAGATTTCATTGATTTTTCTGCTATTTAGAAACTATCCTATTGCCACGCGGTCCTAACTTCGACCGTTAATTTTTGACCTACCGGATATTTGAAAATCAATTACGAGTCTCATAGGCCTACTGCACCGTTTTTAACTTGGTATGAGTAGGGGATAATTTATGAGGATCAATAGGACTTCCCACGGCAGCCGCACGGTGAATTTTAAATTTCTGTTGATAAATAATACTTTTTTCATTTTATTTACATCAGGGCAATTTATAAATGTTATTCATAGTGCTAGGATGTAATATTAAATGAAAAGTGATCGTGAAACATTGACAAATAATGATTCAATCTTGTTGAGCCAGTTGATTTCTACGGGACCTCAGAAATGAACAAATATTATAACTCCGAGTTATAATTTCTATACGGCGACCCTGCGGCGTACGGAGGCCCCAAGGCAAGCGTAGTTTTCCTACGCACAGGCACTGTAGCCCCTTTAAACATTATCCTCCGTCAATAGAAGATACACTCACCTCCATAAGTTGAATTTTTATTTACTTAACCGGCGATGAAATAACTTATAATATTGATGGAAACGTAACTTGACTTTATTTCCAATACCTCCGAGTCCTTGCAAAATATGAGTAAGGCAGGCAATTGAATTTGCTAACTTTATTTAACAAAGAATTGATATGTTTCTTCAGGTTCAATAAAGTAACAGGGCTTTAAAGTCAAAATTGGTTTTCAAGAAAACTCTCCCATTGAAATAACACAGGAGTCGAAAAATTATTTTCAAAAATGACTTTGAAGCGCTACAAATTTAGTATTCATCAAATAAATTAAAACTTAGTGAACAAAAAAGTTAGACAATTCAATTTTTTTATACCAAAAATTTTTTGCTGAATCTTTTACTGAAAAGATTCTGATTTGCCCCGAACTCTCTATTTCCCCTTGGATTATACGGAAATGACGATTTTAAAAAATTTATCAAATTTATCATCAGTTTTCGATCTCTTGTTATGGAGGAAAAAAATCTAGAAAATTTGGAGGTATTGGAAATGAAGTAAAGTTACGTTTCCATCAATATTATACGCTATTTCATCGTAAATAAAAATTCAAACGTAAAGAGGCTTTAACACGTAGTTCAATGGGGGAGCTAAGGTTGCCAAACTTATGGAGGGGAGTGTATAAATACAACTACCGGCTTTTCACGCAAATGAGCCTACTGGGCGTTTATTTTGCATAGGGCGTTTATTTGAAAGAACATTTAATTAACGCTTGTGGTACTTTATTAATAGGGAAAAATATTTTTCCGTTTGGGTGGACGATAAGCTATTTGATTCCTTTTTTCGAATGTTTCGCCAATTGTCAGTTAAGTTTTCCTCTTATTAAGAAGTATTCAAAAAACACCAATGGGTCTTTATTAAGAGGGGGAAACTTTTCCATACTACCGTTTTTCAAATAAACGCCCTTATTCCGTAGAAAATCATTCTTATAGATTTATTACAAAGTTCCTTTGAGTTTAATAAATCAAAGCCTTGACACATTATTATTATTATTACTAAGAAAACTTTTTTTATTGTTAATTTGAAACGTAACACCATTTGTGAAAATCTCTCCCCATAACAAGGAGAAAATAAATAAAAAAGAGATGCATATCATTATTCTACACGTGCTACATTAAAAAGCAACATCATTTATTGAAGCAACATAACTTAAAATATCCTAAGTTTGATTTGTGCGTATACTATTTCCTAATTTTACCTTACAAGCAGTTTTTAATGTTATTTTGAAATTATAAACATCAGTGTATAAAGATAATGTTTCTGATTGCACACGGTCAGAATATACGTATCCAACTGTTGGGCCCGCATTCCATATCCATACGGTCAGAAATAGTTGGAATGACACAATCATCAATGTAACTCCTCACAGCTGTGAATTATACGTTTTAGCTACTGAATATTCACAAATATATTAAGGAATGACCATGTACATTTGTACCTTCAATCATACAAAACGAATATATAAAATGAATATGACAATGCCAAGGAAAATTGAAATTCTGTTCAATAGATTTAGAGCTGGACTGATTCTAAAAGCACATTTATATTCCCATAACTTTGTGACAGTAAATGACCCTTTCTGCGTATGTGGTGACATACAACAAACAACGCATCACTTTTTATTAAACTGCCCTCTGCTGCAACAAGAAAGATGCACTCTCCTAGCAGGACTAAAAACCTTAGGATTTTTTAATCGTTTCCAAAATTTAAACTCTCATGAAAAAATTCAATTTTTATTATTTGGAGACAGAAATCTCACTGTAACTGATAATGAACAAATTATTCATATAGTTAGCCATTACATCTGCCAGGCTCTTGATATTTTAGATTAACCCCCCCCCCCTGAAAGCCTCTAACATTCCCTGCCATTAATATTATGTACCTTATCTATTGTATTTTCATTGTTTCCATTTTTATATGTTTTGTATATTGCCGACAATGTTGAAAAACGTAGGCAATAATATTGTAATGTATTTTATGTTATATTTGGAATAAATGAGAAATGAAAAAAAAAATACAAAACGAATGAATATCAAGCAATATCAAACACAGGATTTGTTAATAAAACCTATATGAATTTCTATATGAATTTATATTCTTGCGACATATATTTCAACGTATAATATACATTTCCTCCGTCGGTAGATTTGCATGATCTTCATCGTAAAATTACTTTGATCAAACGTACGAACATGTAGGTACTCTGTTCGAGAAATAGAGATTAGATTCAAAAAGATGAAGTGAGTACATGGCGAAAATGAAACTTCTTGCGAATGGGAGAACATCCAATTTGATACGAGGACAGCCTGTCTTCGTTTCCAGTTAATCCTAAGTGATTACGTTTAGAATGTTTTGTTCTTTTACATTTTACGATTTGATAAGAGACAGAGACTAAGAAATTAAATGCGACGAAACATTTTGACAACGTAATATGTGTACTGTTTATTCTTAAAGTTTTATGCGTTAACTTATTTTATCGGTTTCAAAATGTTTCATTTTATTTTGCCTATATAAAATATATTGAATAAGATAAGATCAACTGTTCCATAATATATATTGTGTTTTGATGACCTTTTTTAGAATCACAATGTAAAATAAATCCCCCGTTCCTGTCATTCTGGTAACGCCGTGTAATGGATGCAATTCAAAGTGAGAGAGAGATCTATACATCAGAATGCGTCCATGCCATTAATTTTGCCAAATACATGACATGAAACTGGCTTGAGGTGCGTCCCCCTTTATCTGGTAAATTATGACTAAATTTTTCGGACAACTGGGTTTCGGACAACTGGGTTTCGGAGAACTGGGTTTCGGACAACTGGGTTTCGGACAACTGGGTTTCGGACAACTGGGTTTCGGACAACTGGGGTGCACCCATCTTGTTCAATAAGATAGTCAAGGTGATTGATAGCCAAGGTGATTGATAGCCGAACTAAGATAGTCAAGGTGATTGATAGCCGAACTGCCAGATATTCATAATTTTTTCTTCAGCTCCAAAGTGACCCCCCTTTTCTGTCTTTATAAAATATATTGATTGAGTTTAAGATATATTTGAAGAAACATTAAAATATATAAGTCATATATTTGAGACATTTTTGCTCAAAAAAGCAAACCAAGACAAGCCTAGTTATAATATTGGCTAGATATATGACATGTTTAATCTATAGAGCAAACCAAGACTATTCAAGTGAAACAAAGGTAAAAAATATAAGATACAGTATGTTGAGTCAATACAGCAAGCAAGATAATAAACAATGTTTTAGTTAATTAATTAAAGCAGTGGCATTTCAGGGGAATAATGTATACATGATGGATCCTAGGTTATCCATTCTTGGAACATGTGGAATGGTGTTAATTGCCTTCCATACAAATGAGTCTCGTAAAACCCACATTAATGTCATATATAGGGTATATTATATATAATTTATATGGGCTTTTATTGTGTGGCATTTTATTGGTTCAACGCAATCACATCCAGAGCATACCAAGAGTGCTCAAGATAAATGATTTTCTTCTGCTATCAACAGAGTGACCTTTAGACCATTGACTAATTTTATCTAAATAAAAGTGCTTAGACCAAGAATGTTGAGCAAACCTAATGCACAGCTATTTTTTACCAATTCGAATGGACTGTTATGAGAAATATGTCTAAATCTAAAAATTTAGAAAAACATTAATTCAACATCAGAGACATATAAAATTGTTCTGTTAACTGTGCTCTGTTAACTAGAATACCTACAAAGATATTGTTACATCTAGGAATATGCCACACATTTGTTTTAATTTCAGTTTATCCTTAGTATTGGAATTTCATGTGCACACTTGATTTTACTGGTATTTTTTGCCCTACTTTATTTCCTGACTATCTCTTTAACAATGTACCACTAATATGTAAAACACACAATAAATACTAGTTAAAAGTAATTTCCATCAAAACTCTTTAATTAACTCTGTCATAATGACGTGGAACGTCCTTCCAAAATCAATAAAAGACAAAACCACTTTTAATCTGTTCATTTGAACTAAAGAGACATTTATTTCACAAAAATAAAAGGGTTCAGAGAGAATGTTGTGTTGATTCCAAAGTTATATTCATGATGTGCACAACTAAACTTGCAATTATTTTACATGAGACCTATTCACTCTCTGAATTGTCCTTGTGGAAAGGTTAATGAAACAATCATGCATTTTATCCTTAGCTGTCCATTTTGATGCTCAATGAAATGATATAACATGCATAATATGGACTAGGTTCATGGAGATTTTGAATATGATCTTTCGTCTCTTTATGATGCACAAGCCCCCTACCCCCCCCCCCCATTTACCATTGATGACATTTACCTGGGAACTTAACGGATTTCATTCCAATCATTTAAGCAAGAGCATTGACTAACATTGTATGGAAAACATTTTGCATTAGGTCAACGGTGTTATCCAATGAATATAGTATTACATCAGCAGATAAAATTGGACAGAGAAGAAAATGTTTGTAGTTTGAAACTTTCATAAATTTGAATTTCCCGCCAGGAAAGTCACAAGTTGTACTTCGCCAAAATACTACCGGTATGTAAACACTTGAAAATGGCTGCACTTTTCAAAATAATATTTTTGCTACATTTGTTTTCACAAATACAATGTGAAAAAGTTCCATTTGAGGAAAGATATGTTGATCAATATTTAGATCACTTTAACTTCGACTCTGCTAAAGCGTTTGGAGAGGTTACTGGATTTACGGAGCGGTATTTGATTCAAGGTAGATTTGTTTTTCAGTTCACTCAAAAATATTCCCTCGGTCATATGACCATATTTCCCCGGGCATATTTTCTCTACTGCAGGAACTTGTATTGCCTGATAAGAACTTCTTCCAAGAACTTCTTTCTGTAACGACCCTCGATAGTAAGTTGCTATTAGAGGATTTGGAGGCAATATCGAGCGGTCTAGATCATTGGAATTTGCAGCAGAATTTTCTGGATTAATTCCTGCACAGGGTTTTGAAATTAGCACACCCCTTTCATGTCCAGTATCTGTCTTGTTATATGACAGCTCCCCAGAGGCATGGGTCGTTACAATTAAATATAATGCAATTGTTACAATTCCATTCTCCAGTAAGACTTCATGCCTATGCATTCTTGTTGTTGTTGTGTTGCATAAGCCGCTGTTTCCTCGGCAGTTCGTCTCGTGTACTGTAAATTCTCTTTATGCTCTCTCTTGTGCTTCAATTTACACTTGTTGCGCAGATTTTGTATTCCATTATTTATATATATTGTATGTCTTGATTGTCTCTCTCATAAAAGAAGAAATTATAATTATAATATTAAATCACTGTATTCAGTCACTTTCTGTTTATACAGCCACTATCTATTTATACAGTCACTTTCTGTTTACACAGTCACTATCTGTATCGTGTTTTTGGTTTGTTATATTCTTTTGGTTGTTTTTAAGTATGCCATTAACAAATGTCTCATACTTTGATTTTGGGTCCTGTTTAGTGATTGATTAAATCCTGAGAGCAATTTTAGGTCAATAGATGGGTTGGGGCTCTCTACCCCTAAAAGTATAGTCTCTGCCTTGTGGAGCATAAGTTCACGATCTTCCTGATATAATTCACAATCAAAAATATAATGTTGGACTGTCTCTGCCCGATTACAGTGCTCACATAGATTGGAAATGTCAGTTTGAACTTTTGCTAGGTGGTGATTCAGCTTTGAGTGACCTGTTATGATTTGGTTTATTTTGCAGAATTCTGTTCTATTGCTCTCACAGAGATTATTTTGTACATCTACAGTCTCTATAATCTCTTGGATGAATTTAACTTTTGTAGAATTGTCATAAAGATTCTGCCAATCTTTCAAGGCAGTCTTTTTAATGGTTCTGTAGACCTCCTCTTTGCTTTGTTTCATAGAGGTTGGCAGGGTCGCTGCTTCCGCCGCTGCTTCCTTGGCATATGTGTCGGCTAATTCATTGCCTTGAATTCCGAGATGACTTGGCACCCAGTAGTAGGTTAATACATTACAGCTTGCACTCAGGCAGTGGACCAAATACCTAGAATTTTCTATGCATTGAATTTCAGACCTGGGTTTGCTACTTCTGAAAGTACTTAAAAGTGCAGGTTGGCAATCGCCAAAGATGTGAATTTCAGAATTGTTAATAGGTAAAGTGTGCAGGAAATCAAGTGCAACAAGGTGTAAAGCATGAACCTCCCCACTAAAGTTATTGCTTTTCGCACTGACTGCTTTTTTCAAGCAAACAGGATCAGACTTTGTTCCGGCTAGAAATATGATCGCGCTAGACCCTGTTGGTCCTGGATTAGTCAAAGTTGAACCGTCAGTGAAGACAATCACAGATTTATTGTTCAATGTTTTTATCTTTTCTTCAATTATTTTACATTGTTCTGTTTTACTCACCCCTGTTGTGTCACTACCTTCCTTGATATTAAGTTGATATGGTGGAAATTCTAAATCTGTTTTGAATTCCTTTTCATAACATGTGTCTCTAGATGGGTTAAATTCCCTGAGTCTGGAGTTTAAAATGTTGAAGGTTGTGGTTTTTTTTTCAATTGTTGCTTGGGATTTCTCTTTCCATGAGTTCAGAGTTTTTGTTAAAGGATCATTTTCATTTTTACATAGAACTCTGGTAAATTCTTGGCATTGATGCTTTCTTAAGTGTATGTCAATAGGTTGGCAGTTTGTTATGACATCCAGTGCATCAGAGCTTGTTGTGTACATGCACCCTGATGCTTTCAGTAAAGCCAGCCTTTGGACTTTCTGAAATTGTAGTGTAGCTTCTCTATGTGTACAGGCTAGTAAGACACAGCCATAATCTATGTTTGGTAAAACTAGATTTTTATATAGGTACACAAAAGCTGACTGTGTGCATCCAGCGTTTGCACTTGTGGAGTCGGAGATTCTTTTCAGTGCCGAGAAGCCCTTTTTAGTTCTGTCTTCTACGTGTAGGTTGTATTCTAAATTCTCATCTAGAATTACACCAAGGACTTGGAATATATGTAAAATCTAGTATACCTTCAGAACTATGGAAATAAACAAACGTCCTCCATTTGCAACTTCGCTGTAGCCTGTATTTCAATACAGGATACAGTATGGGGGTATAGTAGTGTGTATTTGTTAGGTTGTCTTCCATGATTTGTCTCGATTTTCTCATTCATAATATTCTCAATTCCATTTTCGTGGAATTTGGGCAGAATCAGACTTTAGGTCCCAGCTCCTACTTTTACCTTATTTTGAAGCATAAGCCTTCAACACACGTGAACTGTATGGTTCCATTTTTGCAAAAGGAGATACTTAAATGGACTGGCTATTTTTTATGTGACATGACAGTATGTCTTCGGTAGATTGTTGGAGGAGTTGTTTCTCTAAAAACATGCTGCTTACACAGACAAATTACATCGGGGGATGTACGAGGTTGTACGAGGCTGTACAACCTTGTACGGGTCTAGTAATGTGTCCCGTAATTACTCGTAATTTCCGAGCCTCATACTAGTTTGTGATTACAAGCCCCATTAGAACCCATAATTTCTGAGCCTCTTACATGCTCGTACAGGCTTCAAAATGATAATAATGGGCCTCATGCTTGTATGGGCATCGAAAATGAGCCCCATACGAGCAGTGTGCTCCTTTTTGACCGTAATGACTCCTAATTTTCGAGCCTTGTTCAAGCTTGTACGTGGCTCGATATGATTTGCTTGTGCACCTATGAAGGTATATAATCATTTTTTGAAAATAGAAAAACATTGAAAATCCATTGACTTTTTATTGTCTTTACTCTCTATTGTAGATAAGTGGTGGAAGGCAGGGGAGGGGCCAATATTTTTCTACACAGGAAATGAGGGAAATATTGAAGAGTTCTGGGCCAACTCTGGCTTTATCATGGAGATCGCGCCCAAGTTTAATGCACTTGTAGTCTTCGCTGAACATGTAAGTTATTTGTCTTATAATTGTCTCAATTACAGAGTGATCCAGAAGTAACATCAAAGATGTTCCCATTTCAATACTGCTGGACCAATCGTTTTGAAACTTAGTCTAAATATTTCCTGAACTTTGAAACTTGAAAATTTGATCATTTTCTTTGTTCAGTTTTTGGACTAGAGAATATTAGTTTAGTGTGGTGTGTAAAGTACCCAATGATAGATATTTTTGGGAAGATGCGCTTTGAATGAAAAAATGTGTCACTTTTATAACATTTTAGTGTAAGTTCTCTATTATTATGTTGATTTTTTTAGAAACTCAATATCTCTCTGATGTACATGTAGATTTGTTTACTTGTTCATTCCACGATATTTCTTGAATTTTATGAAGCATGAAGCTTATTAGGGGGGGGGGGGGGTATGCGCCAAGTACAGCGATTGTGGTATATACACCAATCAAATATATATTTTCTTTCAGAGTAGATCCAAATATTATATCGTTTATCTTTTTTTGTGCTTCATATAATCTAAAAGTGTCAGCTCATGCGAGAATTCTCATTAATTAGGCTATAGGAGATCTATTATACTGGAACATGATATTTTGACATATATCAGATTCATGAATGAATTGTTCATAGGGACTTGCTACTCAGTGAATTTGCGGTTTTCTAGTTTATTCTCTTTAACTGCATGTATTTTGATACTAGCCTCATCAGTCTTTATATGGAACTTTAGTAGATGTCAAATCAAAGATTAATCAATTGAAATTACATTGTTCTGCATAAGATAATTTTGTGCTATACAAGTACATGAACTTGATTTTTGTTAGTAATACAAGTACATTCCATCTTATAGATTAATTTTTTTAGTTGAAGGCTTATTGGGATTGTTTGTCACAATTTTGGAAATATTTTGGAGAAATTTAGTCAAAATAGGTTAAAATAAGTTAAAGCCAATATTGTATTTGCACATCACAAAAACATAAAGAAAACTACCATATTAGCCGTAATTGGTACCCATGTCCCTATTAGTGCCCCCCCCCCCAGATTTTTGGAGGCTCAAGGGTGAGTCCCTAGGTGAAGAATCAACGATCATTAGGGTCAAATGCATATTATTATATCCATTATTATATCCATTATTTTGACTTTTCCTGTAATCTAGATTCTTGCTTCCTTGTTTCGGTATGTGTTGAAAATAGTCGGTCTGGATATGGAATCCTTAACGAGGCTGAGAAGAAATTCAGTAGGTTTAATTTTTTCTTATTTCTTTTTCTCTGAAACTCCGGCAATTTTTCTCAGTCGGAACTCATATGGGCACTAATAAGTTTTTAAACTGTTTTGACTTACTTTTAGTGGCCGGGCGCCAATCACAGCTAATACAGTATGTCGGTATGGGAAAGGGGTTTGAAACATTCTCTCCTCTAAAGTGTAATTGTAAAAGATATAATATTAGGAATCTTTATATATTTTACATTTGAAACTGTTCCCCCACACTGGATGAAAAATTAAAACAAACTTATATAAAAAAAATTAAAAAGACCTAATATCTAGATCTCACAGCCAATATAATTTGGCGCCATTTCGGCATCGAAAAACCGTTCCGGCACAGAAACGGTGACGAAAAGGGGTCGAAAATCAGATTGCATTTTAGGGATGTATATTGTGCCATTAAAAAGTTAAAAAATAAATGGTACATTAATTTTTATAGTATGATACTCTTGCGCCATTTTCAATAGCTTTTACTCATAGCATTATAGGACTTAAAACAGAAGTGAAGGTTACCCACTAATGATAAACTCATTGCATGGAGTAGGTATATGAGTTTAAAATTATTTGTGAAGTTTTCTTAGTGTTTTTATGAAAACTAGTATATGGACAATTCTTTCGATGACAACCTTGTATTCTGTAGTTACTTGTATAAGATCTCGTATTCTGTAGTTTCACTATATGATCTTATATTCTGTAGTGTTGGTGAGTGAAAAATGCTGTCAATGGTTAAAATGTAATGGCATCCCCTGTATAATCGAGACATTTAGTTTAATGTTGATAAAAAACAATGTAAATATGGCACCCAAAGCTATTATTAAATCCAACATAAACTTGATGTACCACATATGTTGAAGTAGAGTTAGTATGTTAGAAAGATGGCACAGCATACAATAGCTATTTTCAAAATGTTTGCTAAAGCTAAAAAGATGGCAGAACATACACTGGTAAATGAGTAGTTTCAAAAGGGTGGGTGTGGAGAGACTATTATGATGAACTATCTCATTTAATCTGATTTCTCTCAGTCCTGAGATCATGTTGCCAGTTGAAAAACATAACGATGCAATGATAATCAAAATGTGGACAGGCATACCTAGAAGGGGGACCGGATAAACAGTAAAATCATCGAACTTATTCAGAGGTTGATTTAGAACAAAAGTACCTGGTTTATTGGTTGTGTAAGGCAAACTCAGTGTTTCAGTCTATATTATACTCAATTAATTTTATGAAATGGGTTGGTAGTTGAAGACATGTTTGTGAACTCAAAATTTTGTTGTCAAAGATTTTTGGAGGGCCTCATTGGTAATAGGCATAGGCATAATTTGGCCCTTATTTTTAATTGTAGGCCAAATTACCAAAAATGGGCCTAATTTTGGGATTCAAGGGGTCAAGCCTCCCCCCCTAACAAAAAGCTGGCTATGGGCATGTATACCTTACAGTTTGGGTCTAAAATCTCTGTTGTAAATCTCCCATACCCATTGAATAATATCGTACATGTTTATGTTTACATTTTTATTTGCTTATATTCATACACTTGTTATAATAAACATGAGATCTTTTTTGGCCACAATTTTGGCCAGGAGTAAATAATTCAAATAAACGAACCTTAACTACAGTTTATCAGATTGCATTCTCTAAACATATCCTGAGTGTAATAGTGATATAGGACAGTGAACCATGACTTTGGGCATATTTTTGAAATATAATTTTTGTGATGAGTTTTCGAGAAAATGTGCTCCAATGTTTGAAAAATAAGCCTAAATTCTTTTAAAAAATGTTTCAATTTTAAAATGGCCCTATGGTAACTTATAAATCCTATATGTTTAGAGCAGCTTATATAGAAAGCATTACTATTTCTCATGTTTATAGCAACTGTGACTGAAATTGGTCCATTTTTTGCTGCAAATAGAAAGGTTTCTTATATGGTTGATCTTTATATATTGGTCTAAATTATATAATAAATGGGTTAATTACATGTATAGCATACAGTGAAACCTGTAAAGTGGAACACTTCTAGAAACGGAACACCTCTGCTAGTGGAACACTTTTCAGAGTTTCAAGACCAACTGACTCAATGTTAAATGAACCTCTATAAGTGGAACACCTCCCAAGTAGAACTTTTTTAAGGTACCAAAGGTGTTCCATTTAGACAGGTTTCACTGTATTTTGTTATGAGTAAATTACATGTATAACATATTATTTGTTACGGTCAGTATTAATTCTTATGAAACCTCTGTTTCTCTACACCATGTCTTACAAAGCATTTTCAGTCCTTGTCTAAAGCTTGGACTAACACCAAGGTATACAAGGAATTTCCAGAAGGAATTACCAAGCACCAACCACATAGTTGCAAAATGCCACGTGGGGGAATAATTCTGTCTGTGATGGTCTATGACATCATAAAACTGCAATAATAGCCATGGCAACCATATAATTAGATTCGTTATGGAGAATGCTAGACTGACACTGTATTGTTGTGGTCGGGAAAGTGCCTGGAAATCAGCGCCTTTTTCAAAGGTTTGTCTCTTCTGCGCATAACCTTTCGTTAGCATATATAGATGGCACCATAGTAGCACCACAAATGGTGGAATGAAAACAATAAGACAAGCCGTCACGAGAAATGCTGTCCCGGTATTCCAGTCTAGTAAGCAAATATATGCTTCGGGGTAGTAGGTTGCTCGCTGCATGCCAAATAAGGGTGGACAACAAAAGCATATCGCGACTACCCAAATTGTTAACATCCAGCATAAACTTCGTACTGATCCTAGCATATTTTCGTATCTTTGTGGTTTCCTTATTGCCATATGGTGGTCTATGGAGATCCACATCAGCGAGTACAAACTCGCAATCCATAGCGCTGTTATCACGTACGCCTCAATATGGCAAAATACTGGTCCATAGAGCCACTCATCAAACATTGATGTCCAAAATGAAAATGGTGTTACAAATAATCCAAAAAACAGATCACAGAATATTAACGATCCAAAGAAGAATTTGTTCATGGATACAAGTGCATCAGTACGGAAGTAAATCAGGAGAATGATAATGTTTGATGCTATGGTCCCTATAGTTAATAAGAGTATGATGAAACTCTCCGCAGTGAACCTGATCTTTTCTACATCCATTTTGAGATCATACAATGTCTAACAATCAAATATCTATATTTGACATTATATTATAACCTGGCTTAAAAAGTATCCTGCTATGTCACACTTATTTATTTATATGGTTGTCGTATCCATATTCAATCTTCTGCTGGTATTGATATCCATCCATCCTCTGTATCCAATATTACAAATTCAGGTTTTTAATTCCATTAATTAATGTTGGTTAAAATCCAGTTTGCAATCTGGTGCATATATTCAGTTTAGCTATGATGTTTATGAAATAACCTGTAAATTGATTTTACATTAGTAAGGTTTCCATAGATCATAACAGACAGCTTAGAAAGTTATTGCTGGCGGCTGCTGGGCTGCATTGATCCTCATAAGACTGTAATACCCCAAATCATCGTGATTAAATTCCGTTTAGGTGTGGATATTACAGAAATTATTTGTAATCTGGTACGTTGAGATGGTTAGATTAAGTAATGTAGTATTATAGCATCTTGTTCAGCAATCCGCAGTATTCCTTGCAATAATTGTTCATGTTAGAATTGAGAATCTGAAAATTGAGAATTCAAGAACTGAGTATTGCTTGCATACCGATTAATATAGTAAATAACACTCCGCCCTCTCAGTCAGCTTAGCAGAACTAATGTTCTTTGATTAATGTTGTTTCTAGCATGGCGAGTATTGTTCCAAATGTCATTTGCTTAATAAAACGCCATCGCCTCAATGCTGCATGTTTATCCCATACTGTTCTCAATGTTAACCGACACTCCTACATATTCTACAAAATGAGTAAATCATCTTATCTTTCTCTAGTTGTCTCTCCATGTGAAAACAATAATTATGGGTTATTATTATATTGCATGTGCAAAGCGAGGTTTTGTGTTGCATCCACTTATACATGTATTATATAGCATGCTTTAGAGCATTTATGGTGTACCAGAAATAGGCCTTGTTTGAAGGCAACACGGATTTAGGTGAAATATTCAGTTCAAGGTGCTAACCATAATCTATCCATGTTCCTCTTATATCAACTAGTTTCCAGGTAGTAGACTTTAAGCCATACAGCTGAGTGGTTTACCTGACTTTCAGTGCTAATTTGCTTCCAACAATTGCAATAAAGTTGTAAGTTTCTCGTGTTGTTTTTCAAGTGTATAAATATCACACCTTTAGTAGCTCTTAGCATGTAGTCTTGTTCATCTTTTCGATGCTGCAATGGATCTGTTATTAACGCTCATATTATGTTTCTCATTTCATGCTATTTTTAATCCAATCAAGGGGCATGTAAGAAGTGGTGTATCAGAGCATATGGGAATGCACTCTTGCTCTGGTCAACTTCCTTAATATCAATTGGGTACTTGATTATTAATTAAAGGAACGGATCAGTGTATCATATAATCCCAGCTTTATATGATGAGTTGATAGATTATTTACTCATCTGTTCTATTTACATATCTTATTGCTTGCATTTTATAGATCGGGTTAAGCTGGCATATCAAATAGAAGTAAATTGTTCAAATATTTTATAATTTCAATCCATTATCTTACACTTACTGCACATCGTCTATGTTTGATTAGTTTAATGAAAATGGCTCAGAATTGCTCTTATGTCAGCATTTTCTGATTACTTTCCTTATTTATGATTCCAATTCTTTCACTGCTGATTACCTTGTCTAATATCTATTTATATTGTGAATGAAAAATGTGAAGAAATCGAGGCTTCCAGTTTCATTATCTGGATACATTTACATTTTGATGTATTATAATTGACGATTCGTCGTTATGTCACGTTCAATGAACTTTATCACAAAATCTACAGAGGATTTGAACAATTCTTTACAGTTTTCAATTGAACATTATTATTTCCATAAGAAACAGTCTGACATTCTATTATATATAATAATGAGTATTTTCACTTTCCTTCAGCCTTTGAATGCAATTACAGTAAACCCTGTGTACATTGAACACCTACGGAGCCACAATGTGTTCACTTAAACTAGGTGTTCACTACAGAGAAGGTGATTTATACAGAAGTTGGTTGAGTATGTGGTGAGGAATGATGTCCATTAGAGACAGGTGTTCACTAGAGAAAGAGCCAGAAAGGTGTTCACTAAGACAAGTTTTACTTGTGCATATGCATATTTGGAAATTAAAACCATCAGAGAAGTTGTTAGACAAAGCAATCATCTTAAAAGCCAGGAAGATATTTCATCAACCGATTAATGCATGGCTCAGACAAAAAATGCATGAAGTTCATTAATTATTAAAATTAAGTGCTATTGAGTAGATAATTAATTTGAAGTACGGTGTGAAATTGTGCTTAACATTGCCAAGGTTACCCTGGATAAATAACTTATGTCCATGTATGTTACTCTTAGTGAGAGCTCTTACAATGTCCACTCGTATTTAGAGAGTGTTATTCAAATAGGTGACACTTGATATCATCTATATTAATGATACAAACTTCTATGATTTCTGGTTTCAATATAGGTCTAATGTTATGGCAAATGTCTAACTTGATCGCCACATTTAGATTCAAAGTATTAACTACTACGTGTGTTGGACATTGTATTTATTTGTTTTCCCCTCTTACTAATAATATTCCATCTGGAGTTTTTGTTTACATTTTTTTCTTCACCCTGCTTGTTCATTCAAGCCACAAGCAAAGCTGTTACAAGTGTCTGTGCTTTTTGTGTAAAGTCAAAACAAATTCTTTGAATGAGAATCTTATTTGTAGACAGGATATGGTGAACTTTTTGAACACACATTTCTCTTAAACCAGTCATCAAAAAATTCTAAAAATTTTAAAAAATCGTCAATTTACTGGTCATCTTTTGAATGGTAACAATATAATTTGAAAAATATATATATATATTTACTTTTCTCTATATTGTTTTCGAAAACACATCAGACACTTCTTTTGTTCTTGGTATCATATATTCGGAATGAAATGAAACATCTTTCCTAACCTCATTGGAACAAAATGACAATATTGTAATTGTACAAAGGAAATTATGGTTGACTTTAAAAAGGTATCTTGTTGATGAAATAAAAGGTTTTATCTTAATTTTTATCTTTTTTTTGTTTTTTTGCACAATTGTACAAAAAAATGTTGTCAATCAGTCAATATTACATCAAGGACTGTGTTTCCTTTTCAGAATGTTTTCAATAATTAGTTTAAGAGAAAAATTAAAATTTTATTAAAAATTTATTAAAATTGATAATTAATTTATTCTGCCCATATCTACTTGTTTTACCTTATTAATTCATTCTACCCATATCATCTTTTTATTTGATGTCGTAATCAATCTATAAATGCCATTTATTATTAAATGGAAACCACATCTGCCATTATTCCTTCCATCATCCCACATCTTTTGAGATTGACGTGGGAGTATGCTGGTGTAGCGTAATAATTACATTTGGACATAGAGTACATATTTTATAATTCAGATTTGCATGACGTATCACTTGATTCATTTGAAACATTCCAGGTTATTCCACATCTTGTCCACATCGTGTATATTATTGAGGATATTCTATGAGGTATTGGTGATACGATCGCCAAATGGACATGAAATTTGTATGAGTGAGAAGAGTCAGAGAGTGCAAATTCAATCTCCATGAGTTCTTTTAATTCCCTAGTTAAAGGGTGCTTATCAAACATTTCAACTTATGATCACCCTTGTTTTAAATCGAGTAATAAAAAATTGTTAACAATCAGATTTCAGATGCTGTATTTCACTATTTAAACGATATTTTTGATGGTTGAGGTAATAAGTCTGACATTTTGAAAAATGTGTCAAGATTTGGGTCCAAATCAATGGTTTTTCAGACAGTTACATTTGTATTTTTATTATCTTACTGAACTTCAAAGAAAATACCACTACTTGTGAGATAACAACTGAAAAAATTTGATTTAAATATATATTTCGGAAATTAAATTTGGAGATTTGCTTCTCTCACTTCTGCTGAGATTGATTTCAACTGCTTGATGAAAATGGTATCATTCAAATCAATCTAAAAGATGAATTGCAAGTATCTATGCTATTTTGTATGGTTATGGAGACAAGAGTAGCAATTTTCACCAGGCACTCACATTATTTACTTGGAAACTGAATATAACTAGAGCACTGGAATCAATGCACCATGTTGTATTATTAATAGTACAGTAATAGTTTCAATTCAGCTCTAAATGTACCACTTACGTTGATGGAGCTCTTTAATTTTGCCTGTTTAACAACTAAATTAGATCCTTCACTTATTAATATTGACCAACCAATTTTGCCTAATTATTAGCCATGAGTGTTCTGCTAATGAGCAAGAGCATTGAGGGCATTTGAAAGATATCAGTGTTGTCTAAGTCTCTGCTCTCTAGTCTTGCGTCAAGTCTCTGCCTCTCTAGTCTTGCGTCAAGTCTCTGCCTCTCTAGTCTTACATCAAATATCAGCCTTTCTAGTCTTGCATCAAGTCTCAGCTTCTCTAGTCTTGCATCGAGTCTCAGCCTCTCTAGTCTTGCATCAAATCTCTGCCTCTCTCGTCTTGCATCAACTCTCTGCCTCTCTAGTCTTGCATCAAGTTTCTGTCTCTCTAGTCTTGCATCAAGTCTCTGCCTATCTAGTCTTGCATCAAGTTTCTGTCTCTCTAGTCTTGCATCAGGTCTCTGTCTCTCTAGTCTTGCATCAAGTCTCTGCCTCACTAGTCTTGCATCAAGTCTCTGCCTCTCTAGTCTTGCATCAAATCTCAGGTTATCTAGTCTTGCATCAAGTCTCTGCCTCTCTAGTCTTGCCTCAAGTCTCTGTCTCTCTAGTCTTGCATCAAGTCTCTGCCTCACTAGTCTTGGATCAAGTCTCTACCTCTCAAGTCTTGCATCAAGTCTCAGCCTCTCTAGTCTTGCATCAAATCTCAGGTTCATTAGTTTGGCATCAAGTCTCTGCCTCTCTAGTCTTGCATCAAGTCTCTGCCTCTCTAGTCTTACATCAAGTCTCTGCCTCACTAGTCTTGCATCAAAGCTCTGCCTCTCTAGTCTTGCATCAAGTTTCTGTCTCTCTAGTCTTGCATCAAGTCTCTGCCTCACTAGTCTTGGATCAAGTCTCTGCCTCTCCACCTCTCAGGTCTTTCATCAAATCTCTGCCTCTCTAGTCTTACATCAAGTTTCTGTCTCTCTAGTCTTGCATCAAGTCTCTGCCTCTCTAGTCTTGCATCAAGTCTCTGCCTCTCTAGTCTTACATCAAGTCTCTGCCTCTCAAGTCTTGCATCATGTCTCTGCTTCTCAAGTCTTTCATCAAGTCTCTGCCTCACTAGTCTTGCATCAAGTCTCTGCCTATCTAGTCTTGCATCAAGTCTCTGCCTCACTAGTCTTACATCAAGTCTCTGCCTCTCTAGTCTTGCATCAAGTCTCTGCCTCTCTAGTCTTGCATCAAGTTTCTGTCTCTCTAGTCTTGCATCAGGTTTATGTCTCTCTAGTCTTGCATCAAGTCTCTGC